GCTGGTCAGTAGGTAGGATAAATTCATTATTACAGACTGTTGTAATGTTAAAGCTGTTTAAATATCTCCATCAACATTGTGGGAATATCTGCAGCAGGTTGCACAGACAGAAATCCACCAGTTTAATTTGTTCTCATTGTAGATGATTACATCTAAGAACCCAGCCCAGAGGCATCAGAGATAATGAGAATTGCTCAAGACAAAGCCTCAAGTTTTCTAGATGAACTGTGGGCAGTATCCAGCCAGGCAACAACCAGGTGGAGTTGTGGTTAGATAACAGAGGCAGAACACAGTCCAAAGGCAACAGGATAAATGGAGTCAGAGGTGTTTGAATTGTCTGGCAAAAAAAGAGCAAAACAGGAAAAATGCTTCTGTTGTTTTTATCCAATTAAAAAAATCCAGACTTCTCAGTTCTTAGACTAACACTGATTTCCTCAAGTCTTTGCATGGCAGCAGTGACAAGTAATTGAGGCTTTTCCACACTAGCTTGTAGCCTTGCCTTCCACAGCTGTGCAGAAAATCTTGGATTTTGGTTTTTTTAGTGAACAGAGTCTGAGTTTGTAGCAGTCTCCCCATGCACACACTTGCGGGAGTTCACTTGCATTACCCTGCTAATTTTTCCCCCCCTCTCTCCTTTTTAGTAAGAGATGTATTGATTTCTGTATTCAGTATACAATTACTTTATGATGTGTGTTTTGTAATTAGGAATATGTGAAAATGCTTTGTGTAGATTAAAATATTTCCTTTAATATAATCTCCTCTCCATAGAAAAATGGACATGCCATTGCAGATCACGTTGCTGATTTTATTTGTAATATTGCTTTAATATCTATTTCAGAGGAATGTAACCTCCAGAAAAGTACTTTCCACATCTTTACTACCTTTCCTTTCACTCTTCACCTTATGTGGATCCAGGCCATCAGCACTTGAGCTTTTGACTGGATGGATTTAATGGATTCTGTCACATTTACATGGCCACAAAAGTTACTTGAGATGGTTGAAGTTTGGGAGGATCCAGACATAAATGGAGATGGAGTGATTCCTCAGCAACACTAGCACAGTAGCATTTGTAGCAAGCAAAGGAAATTGGTTTTGCTCTTGTGTGTGCAGGTGGCTCTTGGGGTCTGGTCCACCCTGCTCTTGGGGCAGCTTTCCTGTGGAAGTAACAAAATCTGTTGAGAGAAAAACATCCTTTATCTGTGATGCAGAAGGAGGGCAAGGAGAGTAGGGCTTGGGAGTAAAATCATAGCCAGTGGACATCATGATACCAATTGTCCAGAATTTCACTCTGTGGTTTTTAATAGCAGTCTGGGGTGATGTTTTCTTCCTCTCCATGACTCTTACCCTGAATCCACTGGGGCTGATGATAGCAGACGCCTGTGGCCCACATGAACTCAATAGCAGGTGACCTTACCCAGCATGTTATGAGTTTGCAGAGGGCTCCCGATGTGTTGGGAAGTTTTTGTTGATGGCCAGGAAATCTCTTGAAACTCCAGAAATAGCTGAAACAGCAAATGGAGTTCATGAAAATCAGGTCTTCCTCTTCCAGCATTTTTAAAGAAACCCACATTTTATTTCCTCCTTCATTTTTCACACAGTAGTTTTAGATATAAATTATTTTAACTACTTTTTTTTTGTGTGTGAAAAGTCATATATACATATATAAAGTTATTAAGTGTTGAGAATATGTTGAGTATAAAATAGTGACTTCTTTGTTTCAGATGTTAGCAGCCCCTAAAAATGAGTTGTTTATCCTCTTGTAAAGTCAGTGCTGTAAAAAAATATTAAAAACTAAAAGATGTGTTAGATGTATCTTTTATTATTTATTTCTGATTCAGTATTTGATACAGCTTGTGTATACCCTTGTGACAACCACATACTAAAAACACTGTCGTTCTTAAAATGGAGTAACAACAATTCCTTGGGATCCCAACAGTTGTGAGAGAATTGGCCCTCTGGGTGTGAGTAGTGTTGGATATTGTCCTTCAGTCTCCAGCACTGCTTCCCCCCCAAGCACGGCTGAATCTCGGGGACCATTGTGTGCGTGTGCTCAGTTTCGCAAGTTCATTGGTATCTGTGTTCAAATCCAGCTGTACAGTGTTAACAAGTGTGTCTTGTGATTCGCTTCAGCCTGGTTCACTATGACTTCTGAAACATAATTCCCATTTTGTACTTAAATTTGTATAGAATTATATCAATCCTTAAAAGATCATGGCTTACTGTAAAACCCAAAATACTTGCTATTTGGCATCTTCAATTGCATGACTGATCAGATCAGACAATGGAGATGGTGCTTTCATCTAACAGCATTCATTTCAATGGTAATATATTAATTTTCTTTTTGTTTGCCAAGCATCTGTTTTGGACAATTGTTTTGGTTTCAACAGTAAAGCAATATGCAGTAGGTATTGTGGCATTATCTCTGTAATTGTTTTGAAGAGAGGATTGTCCCTTTCCAACACATAATGAAAATAAATGCCTTATAACAAGTTCTAGTTTGCTTCCTCTTTCTGAGTGGATAGGGCAGCGAGGTGAGCAGCTCCGGGGGAGGCCTGTCTTCATGGGAATTCAGTGTTCACATCCTTTGCGAGTGCACTTGTTTTGCAGCCCCATACTCAGGCCTTGCACACCATCTTTCCATCTGAAGAAAGTCCTTGAGTCCCAGATATTTGTGATTACTTGAATATCCAATTAAGACAGTATTTAGAGTAGCTCCATCAAGTAACAATATTCTTCCTCTTGTTGATTTTGCGTGAGGTATGGATGCAGACAGGAATTTCTGTCTGCTGCTGCCATCCTTAGTGAAAAAACTTGTCTAACTCCTTCGGTCATGGCTGCATTTCTGTGCGGGTTGTTTGGTTTTTTGGGTTTGGGACTAGTTCTTTTATTTGGTGGGGATTTTTTGTTTGTTTTGTTTTTGGTGGGGGTCTGAGGGTTTCTGTGAACTTATTGTGACATGTAGGCCTGAGTTTGCAAGGAGTTGTATGGGTGCTGCTACTGGCATAGACTGTTACAAAAATAAAAGGAAGAAACTAAATCATAGAATATGTCAAGTTGGAGGGCACCCATCAGGATCATCAAGTCCAACCCCTGGCCCTGCACAAGACACCCCAAGAATCTCACCATGTGCCTGATTGTCCAAATGCTTCTTGAACTCTGTCAGGCTTGGTGCTGACCATTTCCCTGGGGAAGCTGTTCCAGCTATAAATAAAATATATTTACAATATACAATATTCAGATTAAAAATACAGTATTGAAATTAAAATTTAGGTGAAGATCAATATGTAAAATGTAATTTCTTCAGGTGGGGTAACTCCCTAATTGACATTTCTGTGCAACACCTTTAGTTTCACTTTGGTTCCTCCATGTTTCCCTGAGGTCAAAGAGAGTGGGATCTCCTCAGGAGAGAGTTGAAAGACTCACAACTTGCTCCAGTGCACTTTCCCCAGCCAGGCTCTTGCATGGATTGTGCCCTGTGCCAGGGCAGTTTTAGGGCTGTGCCTTGGCCTCAACACCACCTCTTGCCATTGAGTGCCTGCTCAGGGCTGAGGAATGAGGGCAATGCCCACTCAGCAGCTCCTGCTCCTCCCTGGGAAGCTCATCCTGTGGGTGAGGAACAGCTCTGGGACCATGCACCTCCTGCACCAGGGAACCCCACGCACACACACCCTGTAATACACTGCACAGGCCAACAGCACTGAGGGTTTTTGCAGAGTAAAGAAATAAGCCTAGTTCAAAGCCTGGCAGCTATTGCCTAAGCATCTCAGCTGTTCTGTGGGCTGCAGGTGATGGGAGAGAACTGAGCTTCGGATTGGGGGGTCTGGAATACAGCCCTGCCAGTGGGTGGATCTTTCCCTCTCCTGCCAATGCACATAGAACATCTAAAATATGAGCAATGCTTAGGGATTTTGGGGCCAGCTTCCCTAACCCAGGCATCCCTTGATCCTCCAGCTGCCCTGTGGTCTGAAACCCAAAGGATGGAAAGGTTCTGCCTTTCCAAAGGATGGAAAGGTAAGCACAGTGCCAGCTGGCCACCATGGCTCCTGTGAGCCAGGGTACAGGAGGGACATTCCTCAGGATGGCCCTTCACCTCTGGGGAGCACAGACCAGTAGTTCTCCTGACTGGCCTATCTGTTCCTTCTTTCTAATCTACTCATGTGTTGTCCACATGGCTTGACTTAGTCAAGTATTGCCCAGTGTCTGAACTTTTAACTGTGTTCTCTCTGTTCATCGATGAGCCTCAGGTGCGACCCAAGCCTCACTGAAGCACCCAGACACCCAGTGCCAGGGGGGAGAGCAGCGTGGCACCAGCAGCCCCCGGCTGAGCAGGGAGAGCCCCACAGTGCTTGGGACCACGGGGAAGTGTCCCTGATGCCAGGGCCCGGAGGACAGCAGCGCTGGAGCCAGGGTAAGGAGGAAAGCGCCATCATGGCGTGTCTGTGGTGAGGGGAGCCCTCCGTTCCCGCCCTTTTGCAGGACTGTCCAGGCCCTGCAGCGTGCTGACAACTGACACTGAAGCTGCCAAAACAAAGGAAGGAACCCACTGCAGTTTTATTTTTCCTTAGATAAATTTTTTATATAGAATATATTACAGTCAGAGTTCTCAGCTTTTAATCAAAAGATAACAAGTTATTGCAGTTTTTTACCCAGTGAAACTACCGGTGAAAGAACTTTCTAGAAAGCTGTCCTGTCTTTAAAAAAAAAGAGGGAGAAAACCCCACCCAGACAGAAAATACACATGTAGGTTGCACTTCGCACCCACGGGCGCCCTGCCGGGCGTGTGGACATCCGTGTGGAGAGGGCAGCATGAGGTGAGGCAGCGGCGATGGGCACAACACTATGGCGAGGGAGGCAGGCCTGGGGCTAGCGGGGTCGGTTCCTAGGCACGGTGCTTCTGCTCGGCTTAACTGCTCTTAGATCGAGAAATGGATGCGCGGTGGGAGGAAGGGAGGGAGGAGGGTGGCGGCGCTGCTTCCGCCGGCACGGGGAGCGCCGGGCCCTCAGCCTCGCCTCAGCTCGTGCAGCTTGTGGGCGACGCGCTCCAGCTCGGCCTCGATGGCGGCCAGGCTCTCCAGCTCCTGGTCCTGCAACGAAAGGCCAGGACTGTCAGTGGCCGCAGCTGGGCAACCCTCGCCCCCCAGAGCTACAGAGAGCCTTGCCTGGGGCACGAGCACAGCCTTGTCCCCCCCATCCCTTCAGCCTGCATTTGTCTCTCTGGACAGACCGGTGTGCACAACACTGATTACTTCTGCCCTAATGTTTAATTACTGCTGCTAGTAATGCAGCTGCCATCCTTCCCCCATACCCTGCCGGGCAGGGCATCCCCCAACGGGGCTGTGCCTCCAGAACAAGGGGCTGCAGGGAGATGGCTGCCAGGGAGCCAGGGCAGGCTCTGCCAAACAGCACTGGGTGCCAGCACGGAGTCAGTGCCATCAAGCCAGCATGGGCACCACTGCCTGCCACCTTCGGGAAGTGCAGCATGGGCCCTGCCCTCTCCCCACCCTGCCCTGGGTCTTTGCTTGCACCTCCACTAGCAGAAGATACTTGTCCTGGGAAAACAGTGACTGAGGAAGCCATCAGTTCAAAGGCTCAAGCTGCCCATCACTTGGTGGTCTTTCTATACCAGTTCTTGTGTATCTGTGCTGCCAGCTGTAGCTGCTTTATTTAGTGCAGGTACTCAGATGCCTGACTGTGTGACTTTGCCTGAGCTCAGGTCATATCCAGGTGGCCCTGCCTTGCTGCCAGCCCAAGCCCTGCCTGTCCCTCACAGCTGTGGTCACCTGGGTTCTCTGCAGACCATGAAAGCAGTGTAGCAGCAGCAGGCTCTGTGTGAGCAAACGTGGTGCTGTACCCTTTTCCCATTGACAGAGCCGAGGTGACAGCCCCTCTCCTGTGTGGAGGGAGTAAAGCCTTGCTCTCACCTTCAGCATCTGCAAATCACAGTTTGACACTGAGCCACTGCACTGCATGTGGCTGGTGTGAGAAAAGTAAAGGATGTATGAAAAAGGGGTTTGTTTTCTCTTTCTGAGCTATTTTCCTGAACACAGAAAAAAAGTCACCCTGCCCCTCCACTGAGCCCTTGACACAGCCCCTGGGAAAGCTCTGGCTACAGTAGGGTGCCAGCAGTTCAGGGTGCCTTCAAACACCCAGGGTGCCCAAGCACCCTGTTTCATTTTGTTTGAAGTGGGTCAGAGAGCAGCTGGCTGAGGCTCACCTCACTGGAGGAGAACTTGGGCTGCAGCTGGAGCCCCCAGAAAGGGAGAAAAATAGGTTCTGAGAGACCTTGGTCAGACGCAAACCACTGCTCTGGCTTGCATCTGCCTGGTCCCACATGCTGAGCCCTGGAAAGTGCAGGGGACAGCACTGTCAGCCCCTATCTGTACCTATGCTTGCCTCACTGGCCAAGCCACACAGCCCCAAGGCCCAAAAATGAAGTGGACAGCAGCCAGAGATTGTGCCTTCCCTCACTCCTGTGTGCCTGGCCTTACTCACTGGCTCCCAGAGGCCTTGATCCATTTTAAAAAGCCAACCAAACAAAAAAGTCTTGTTGCAGCTGCAAACACAGCAGTTTTGCATCCTCAGCAGCCTCCTTTCCAATCCCTATTTGGAGACTGAGTCCGCCACCTTGCAGACAAGGTGCACCCCAGAGCCACTTGCAGGGGCAGGTGGGGAGCAGCCTCCCTGGGGGAGAGATGTGGGATGTAAGCAGACAGTGGTGGGAGGCAGATGGGACAGCCCACCCCACTGTGCCCCTGCTTTGAGCTGAGACATTTGGCTTTGCTTTGAACCAATACAACTGGAGATGCAATGGGCAATTTTTGGCCAATGGTTTGGCACACAACTGAGGCAAGAGGGGTGTTTTGAAGGCAAGAGAGCCAACTGGCTTCACTCCCCTGCTGCCCCAGCCTGTTCCCAGGCACCTGATCATAACCTGTCCCAGGCTCGCAAAGCCCAAACCAAGCTCCACTGCCCAGTTCCTGTATTATCCCAAATCAACTGTGCCTGGAACTGGGCCTCAGCACAAAGGTGAACCCACCAGCAGTTCCTGGCTGCTGGAGATGTGCTGAGCTACTACCTAGCATCACTCAAGGTGTCAGGGAAAGAGGTCTCTGACTCTGGAAGCCTGGCTCAGATGTATTTCTGTATCTATCCTCCATTTCCACTCAAATACCTCAGGTTTCCCACCACAGCTGCAACCCTGATTTACCTCTGTAGGAGGTCTGACATTACTCACTCCATCCCTGAGGCAGGGAAAGCATTCCTTTTGACTTGGAAGGGCTTTGGGACAGAAGGACTACCCCTAGGTTCCAGTTACAGCTCCAGTCACTATGTCTGGGCAGTGCAGAAGTGCTGTCACTGGAGACATGACTCTGGGGGGCAGGGAATGCTTTTGCGCTAGTCACAAAAACAAGGACAAAAACCAAAGGCACAGCAGGTGCAAGCTTCAACAATACCTGAGGCTGAATGACTGGAAGTTCACTAAGCATCAACTTAATGCCTCAGAGGACCACTGCTGGCTATGTTAATGCCAGTATACCATCCACGTCTCCAAGCATACTTTGGATAACTGGGTGGGATTTATTCTCTAAGCCTGTGTACACCAACCTCTGTTCTCCTGTTAGCACTGCCTTCCTCATCCTTCTTTTCTTCAGGCATGGGAGCAAGTGGAAAGCCTCCTTCACTGCTGTCTTCCTTTGAGTGATGCTTCCATGACCTTCTCACATCTTCCTCTGGACTACTGAGGGCATACTTGCGGGACCTAAATGTCTTTTTCATGGACCTGTCTGGGTCTTCCTCACTATCATTTTCCTCCGTGCGCTTCTTTGATGTCAGCTGCTTGGCCAGCTCATCCATTTTGTTCCACCTCTTGGTGTCTTCCCACTCCCTGGAGGACTCCTCCTCCATCTCATCACTTTTGGCATCCCTGGGCTGAAAGGTGTCCTCTTCTCCCTGCATCTCCTCATCCTCCAGGCGATGCCTTCCTCCTCTCAGTGCCCGGGGCTGCTCTTCCTCCTCCTCTTCCTCCTCCTCTTCAGAGCTCTGCACATCTTTTCCAAATCCCAGCTCATCATCGTTATCTGAAAGAGCATTAAACAAAGCAGTGAACACAACTGTTAACCTGTTTAAGGTCCACCTTTGAACTGAGCCTTCAGTGGTGATGCTAGATTTCTTGACTTAGGCCTGCTTTCCCAAGATTCTGGAAATACCTACTGTCACATTGCCATGTCAGTGATGGGGCTTGAAGGCAGCAGTCAAAACCCCTGTAGGAAGCTTAGAGAATATGAGTGACTTGTCCCCAGGATCTATGAGAGCTGAGCAGCAAGGCAGCTGCAGGGCCTGCATTACCTGCTGTGCATGGGCCTGTGTGTCCAATGTTTGTGTTGGGTTCTGGGTGCCTGCTGGCCAGTGTGTTTCTGTAAACTCAATAAGCAACTGCCTCAGTGCCCTCAGCTCACCCCAGGAAGGTATCAGTGCAGTCTGGGATACATACTGTCACCTCCCTGCATCTCCTCAGCCTCCTCGTCCTCCTCAGCCAAATCGAGTGACCTCTCTGCTTCAGTAGGGTCCTCCTCTGCAGCTTCATCTCCATCATCCTCCCGCTCCACACGCTCCCCTGCTACCTCCTTGCTGTGCTTCTGACCCTGCCTGGATGGCTCTTCTCCCTCATCCTCAAGCTCCAGGCTGTCCCTGGAGCCTCTGAGCTCTTCCTCTTCATCCCCTTGCTGCTGCTCATCCTCACTGAAATTTTTGCCAATGTGGTTGTCCAAAACTTTGTTTCGATGGGTGTCCTCTGTATCCCTGATGTCATTGCTCTGAGCTTCCTCCCGGTCCTCTTTCTCAACAGGGTTGGTATCCCATGGCCTGGGTTCCCTCTCCTCCAGGCTTTTTTTCTCCTCTCTTGAGTCTTCATTTTGCTGGGCCTTCTCTGCTGCCAGCTCAGCTAGGGACCCTGTGGGCTGCTCATCTTCAGGGTGCTCCTCTGCAGCATCTACAGAGGGAGAAATAAGAAGAAACACCTCTGCTGAGAGCTCGTTTCACAACCGGCAAAGGCCAAGCATTTCTTAGGGAGCTTCAGCCCCGCTCAGCAATATGCTTAGCCAGCCCATGGATCCTTTTGCAAGTCACTTCAGCATATGTTTGCATTCAAGCAAGGCAGCATTCTCTCTGGTGCCTGTGCTCCTGGCGAGACTTGCAAGGCTGAAGTTAAACATATGCTGAAGTGTTTTGCTGCAGCACAGTCCTCATCACCATCTCTTGAGATGCCAGCCATGAATTCACCCTGCATGAAACCAGACTGCATGTAAAACTAAATTATTTAGGAGTGTAATATGGCACTTGGACAGCTCTCCCTGCTCTGAGTGCTGCACTCACATCACATCCTTATTTCTCCCACCAGGCTGAAGAGGCAGCCACCCCTGTTCACAGGGTGCTGGAGGGAGGAGGGCTGTCTCTGCTTCTGCAAAGGAGCTACTCAGCAGGAGCTTAATGTGTGCTGAGTATTTGCTCTTGCTCAAGGGAGACTAGCCTCTTTTAACACTATTAACCAGAGAAAACACTTTGCAAAAGAAAATATGGGAGTTTAAAAGCCAGAGAGATATGGAAAGTTAAGTGCAGCCCCAAGGAGGGCTGAGGAGTGCACCAGGATGAAGGGATGCAGAGAGCTGGTCACACAAGGCTGGTGGCCACCTGTGACACTGTGCTGGTGTCACCAGACTGTCAGTGGACCTGGTTGGCCCATGTGCCACATTTCATCTTTACATCATCTTCCTTCATCTCCATGCTGCTGGAGCAAGAGTTTCAGGTGTGTCTTGGCAGTAGGGAGATACAGTGCCACCATCCTACCTGTTGGATTTTGGTGGTGCTGGCTGCAGCAGCAGCAGCCCCTGGGGGTGTCACTCCTCATTGCTCTAAGTAGTTTTGGACTGGTGTCACAGCAGTGCTGTGCTGCTGTGGGCCAGCCATGTGCCCCAGAGCTGCTTGAGACCCTCTGTGGGCACCCAGCTGCTGCTGGATGAGGAGCCACATCACCCCACATTTGCATTGTATCATCCTGACAAGGAAAAGGGAAAGGGCTAACCCGGTTCTTTCTGCTAACCTGCCTGTCTGTAGTAATGCCAGAGAAACACTGGCAAGGGGAAATGCCAGCTGAAGGTGATCTTTCCAAGACACAGGTGTTTTGTGTGGGTGTGTGCATTGTGTGTGTTTCAATTTTCCTTTCAGAGATTCATTACTTAATATCTTAGATGCCTAGAAACAGGGGTGACAGGCAAAAACCCTGATCATCCTTGCCTGTTTCACTGACTCTTTCAGTGCAGGATTTCCCTGGCTTATTTTAAGTGTTATAAGTGAGTGAAATTGTCAGCAGGGTGGAAAAGTCAGTATGACTTTAGTAACCTGACCATGACCAGTTACTATAGCTCAGAGACTACGTGTTGTTTGAGCTGGTAAATAAGAACAAAGCAAACACCAGGTTGCTTGTGTGTGTCAGCAGCAGCATCAAAGAAGAGAAGCAGATGGACATATCAAGGCTGTTTGGAAGAAGATCCTTGTTTACAGCCTGACCTGAATTTCCCGGGGGTGGAGGCTGACACTGACCTCTCTGCTTGTTCTTGTTGTTCTGACTTTCAAGGACTTCGGAAAGTTCATCTTCAAAGCCGCTATTTTTCTTCTGCTGCTGAGTTCTCTCATTGGCACCTGTGTCAAGTAACAAAAGGTAGGGAAAGGCAACAGTCCCTTCTATGTTTTAGAAAGTAGAGGTAGGAAAATAGTTCTGTGCCCCTTATGTTTGCTACAGTGGAAAAATCTACCTGGGAGCTGGGAGGAGTGAGACTGGAGTGTATGTGAATCAACTGCAGTAACAAAACCACAATCAAAAACATCATCTGCAGGAAAGAAAATGGTCTCTAAATAGAGATGGCAGGGTTGCCAGTAAAACCAATATTGATGGAAATCTAGGGAATAAGAGGTGCTGAACTGCACCACACTGAGGGCAACAAAAGACTTCAGAGTACTGAAAGATAAAAATTGCCTTCTGCCAGATTCTGCCCATGCACCTCTGTCGAAGTGAGCACTGAGAGCTCCTGTATCCTCCAGCATGGTTGTGGGGGCCCCTCTCCCCTGTGTGCTGGGAGGAAGAAGCAGCATTCATTCTCACTTCAGGGGTAGTCTGGGGCTCCAAGGCCCCATACCTTAGCTCTGGCTTTATGGAGCCTGCTAGAAAAATACAACACCTTGGAGAGAGGTGTCTGAAGGCAGCATGAGCTGGAGGTTAGGCTGCAGCTGTCCTGGCAACCAGCAATGGGATCTGCAAGACAAACAAGCCCTGTCTAAACCAGCTCATGCCCTGCTTCTGTGCCTTAATGCAAGAGCAAGAGCCAGTGCTGCCAGCCCAGTCCTCTCTAGCCCAGAACTGAATGGTGTGGGCTCTCCAGCCTGAGCAGAACCAGCTGCACCAGCACAGAGGACACGAAGATTAACACCTTTGCTTTTCCCTTGGTCTACAAGACTCTTCCACCCCCAGTCTCTGTGATCTGTAGGCTGGATCTCATGTTACCGTGGGACCAAGTGGTGTGATGGGCTCAGGCTGAGGAAAGAGTGGAGCAAGGTGCACCTCCATGTAACAAGTTCCTTCTCATGGACTCCATGCTGAGTGGCACAGCTTGTCTGATATCTGAGTGCTCCTCCTCAAACCCCTGGTGTGCCTGGGCAGCCATATCCCAGCACACCAAAGAGACCATGTCTTCTTTCTTGTGGATCACCAGAGCATTCATGGAGTCCATCTGAGGTCACTGAGCATCTGGCCCCTCCACCATTTGGGTAGTGACTAAAATATGGCTTTGGGAGCTGCATAAGACTCTTTCCCAACTCTGACTTCCTGAATTTTTCCTCTCTTTCTTCCTCTTGCCTCTGTGGCTTCCTTAATCTGAAAGCATTCTGGTGTCACTGCCTTCCATCCATCTCTGGCAGACTTGCCACACAGGAGCAGGGCATAGGGATGCCCTAGTCATTGTTTCTCTGGTGATACCCAGCTGGCCCCTGGTTACCCCAAGCAGAAGGAGTAGGGAAGGCCAGGAGGTGCTCTCCCTGCAGTCTGGGGACACCCCTGTTGCAGCCTCACCTGGACAGAGTGATCTGGCCTAGCCCTGAAGTAGCCTTGCCTGGGAGCTCTGTTGGCTCTGGGCAACTGGGCACCTGAGAATGTCCCTTTTTATCCTTCAGCGCCCCTTGGTACAGCTCCATGGTGCTGCTGCTGCTCCCACATTGACCAGTGCAATTGACCTGCACCCTCCAAACCAAAGAAACTTGCCTTTGAATTAAGGAAGCCATCTGAAAAATACTCATTAGCTCAAGAATATTTTCACTGGCGTCTTTAAGGTGCAAATCTTACTCACTGTTCAGGGGGCTTCCCTGCTGCCACACCTGGATTTAGTGCTAGTCTCCAGCTTCACAGACAGTGGAGGTTTTCTTGCCTTTCATTCTAGTTTGGGAACTGGTGATTATTTGTTGAATAAATTACAGCATTTGCTTTTAGACTTCTCCCACCTCAAAATGTCTTGAGACTACATCAGCACCAAGCTACATTGGTAGCTATTGAAATTATCAGATACATATTGGAATTATTATAAACAAAATTCCTGTCCCTACTGACACAATGTCTGCTGAAAATCTTGGTACTACATTTCCTAGGGCATATTTACATGATCGCAAATTAATATAAAATAATAAAGAAAAAAAAAAAACAAACACGAAACCAACCAAAGAATAAACCTCTCTAAGGGACTACAACAGAAAAAAACAATCTTCCCTATAGTTACATTCCCAAAAAAATATACTGGCACTGTACCTTGTGCAGCAATTTCCTGAAGTTCCTTCAATAAATTTTGGTGGCGAAGGATAGAAATAATTCGCTCATCTGCAACAGGGAAGATTTAGTACAGAAAGTAGTCAAAGCAAACCTCCCCCAACCCCAGGAAATGAAACAGAACCCCAAATGCCACTTCTTCATTTGCTCTTTTCTTTCCCTTAGTCTGATTTGCTCTCACATCTTAACCATGTGATTAAGACAGCAGGAAGGTCCTATGAGAACCAGGCAGTTTGATGTCACCCAGCACCCCTGTGGCCACAGTGCCAGCATGAGGCATGGCCTGGGACAAGCAGTGGCTCCATCCCTGCTCCTGGGGCCCAGTACAGCCCAGTGGAAGAGCATGGGGAACCCTTGTCAGGGCTCAGTTGGTCAGGACCAGGGCAGGACCAGCCCCTACTTGCCAGATTTGCTTTTGCTGATACCCAGCAATATGTCTGAGGCAGTACCTCCTCGGAGAGTTTCTAGGCATTCCTCACTGATCGGCAGGGGGTTTGGCTTAGATAAAGTATCAGAGATGACCTCTACAATGCACTTCATCACCTAGAAAGAGACAAAACTACAAATTAAAGAACTGGTTTTTTGTCTTTTTTTTCTACTTGTTACCAAGGCTAAAGTACAGCAGGTGATAGCACAGATCTTGCTTTTCTGGTCAAGCTGGAACTGAATGTTCAGTTCTTGTTTTCCCTAGCTCAGGAACAGAAGGCACCTCCTGAGTACCTGCAACTGAGGAGTGAGGAAATTACACATGACAATGGAAAGAGCGTCTTCCACATGACACTCAATTCAGCTGAGGATTGCATGGCTTCAGACCATACCAGAGTCTGAGCACATCTGGAGAGTAAAGGGTATCTGAATATATGCACAGAAAATCCAAAATCATCCTCTTTTAAGTCAATATATCTCAACCTCCGTCTCATAAAAGGACTTAGTGGGAAGTTGTAGAGAGCAAAAAGTAGTCATGGCTGTTCAACAGATGACCTTGAAATCTTAAAAGCTCTTCAAAGCCTTGGAAAGACATCATAGTTAGATTGAAGCCAGGAATGGAAGGTGAGGTGGGACAAAATACTTTCAAACACAGATGAGAAATACTGCTCTCAAGCCCTAGAAAGGACAAGGCACTCTGGAGAAGTGTTTGACCTTGTGCTTCGAGTGTTCAAGCCATCTGTTATAGACTGGAAGAGCTCTACGTGATGACAGGTCATCTGAAAGCAAAGAAGTTCTGACACAGCTTCTCAGAAAGGATGAGCTCTGGGCGCACCCTTTCAGCAGCCCGTTTTGTTAGGGTAAAACCAGGAGCATTATTTATGTAATTTGTCACCTGCACTGAGATTGTCGGCATCCTTGCCATGCCAAGACACACTGCTGGGAGCCCTTGTAATTTGTCACCTGCACTGAGATTGTCGGCATCCTTGCCATGCCTGCTGGGAGCCCCAGTGTGTGGTCAGGTAGACCCAAATGATCACACAGGAGAGAAACCTTCACTACAGTCTGGTGCTGATTGGTAGTGTAGGAATCAGGTTGCTTAGTTCAAAAGGGTGATTTTTTTATAATGCAATCTAGGAAGAATGCAGGGCTCACAATTGTCTGTGGGGAAGAGAGGCTAAATTGAAAAAAGAATACAAGTTAAGCCTTGGAGGCAAAAAATTCACTCACTGAACCTCTTTCTCCTGATGATTTCAGCAGGGAGCCCTGAGAGCCCTGACCTCCCTCACAGTGTACCATTCTCAGGAGAGCAGAGCGCTGTGGCTGCAGTAGAAATTAAACACAAGTCAGCAGTCCCCAGTCATCCACAATGCTGTTCATTCAAGCAGTTGGATATATTCACTGGACAACTGGAATGGGCAAATGCTCACCCTGTGTAAGGAGAGAATTCTGCTTTTGCAGATCACAGCCATAAAATGTTGAACTCTACACCTTACACAGTTTGAGGGAATTGCCTAATGGATACAAAAAATGCTACAGAAACTATTTTAAAAAAGAAAAAGAAAACAGGGGAATTTCCCTGGTATAATTCTCTTATATCACAAGTGATCCATTAATACTGATTTTAGATGATTTTGAGTCACTCTGTTTTTAAATAGAAAAAAACCCCAGATTCTGATATTTCCCTCTCATGTTTCCCAACCTCTGGACCCACTTACTGTAGCAGTATTTGATACAGCTTCAGAAGTTAAGACTTTCTCAGCATGAGAAGTAAGACTGGTTCAATGAAATATTCTATTCAAGCTTTTTTAAGACTTCTAAGCTGATCTAAGGTCTTTGAGCACAAAGAGACACATCACTCACCACAGAAATACATTCAGCTCCGTGGAGGAGCTTTGTAAGATAATGAAATGAAGAGTGCAGTCATCCTACAGCACTCTCCCTGTCCTCTTTTTCTTAGAGGAGGTCTTGCAGAGTGAGACTTCACAAGGTCATGAAACAAAAACCTGCATCAGGAAATGGAGGAGATCCTTTCCAAATGAATGTAATTAATCCAGTTCAGAAACTCAGACTGGAATTTTGCCATAGCTATCATCTAACCATGAGCATGTAACTAGATCCTTAAGAGCAGCTCACAATGTCCCTACACAGAAATCTCCAAAGGGTTGTGCCCTTACAAGGACAGACTTGTCCATATTTGAGCTCAGCTATGCCCTTCTAAAATGTATGGTTGTAAGTGAGAAATAGGTCCTTCAAGCACAAGAGCGGGCAAACACCAGAGACATTGTAAGACATTTGGTCTTGTTCAGCTCCCTATGGAAAGCCCTTGGTGTAAGGAAAGTCTGACGAGCGGTCCAGGAAAGGCCTGCAGGTGCTGACTACCCATTACACAGCCCCGAGCCACCCACAAATGCTGTGGCACAGAACATGGTGTGTAGGAAGAGCTGCAGTGCTTGTTGCTGTATTCATGTGATGATATCCCTGCCCTAATCTGTTCCATGAGACCAGGAATTCCTTCCCTGAAATGCTGTGTCTCAGAGGACGATGAAAGCAGGAAAGCCCTAATGACTTCTTCCAATTCCAGCAAATTCAAAAGAAAGCTGATTTTGCTCTCTGTTAGAGCCTGTGTCAGTGTAATACCCAGGGAAGGGGGGGCACTTTTGGGAAAGTCCTTTCCTGGTGGAAGCATTTCCATAGAGTTGCATGAACTGCCACTAAAGTGCCTTTTTTTACACATAGAATATATTGGGGAATAGACCTCACAAGGAAAATCATATGATTAGTGGATTTTCCCATCAGATGCCCACTCTGGCATGGAAAGTTGAAGGGCTAAGTGCCTGTCTTACGTCCCCTTCCTCAGCAGCACACAACCTGAGGACAGCACCCAGTGTCTCACAGCTCATGGCTCTGTCCCAGCAAGGGCTAAGCAGGCTAAAAGTCTTAACAAAGCAACTGCTCTCCAGCCCAGGCATGTCTCACAGGACACAGGGAGGTGTTGCTCATGGCACATGTCCTGCAGGTAACCTGCAGTGGAGCCTGTGCCTGAGACTGGCACCAGCATGCCCTCCCCTGCTGCTGTCTGAAAAAAAACATTATGCGGCTAGAAGATTTCATAACACAAAATGGTTAAGAAGTAGAAAGGAAAAGTGCTGGAGTTTCCTTTGTGGACATGAATTTCCAAAAAAATTTTAATTTGGGCAGCTAAGAGATCAGCTCATATGAAAGATGGGGGAGGGGGGGCTCAGCGAGTCGTGTCTGACATTGGTTAACACAGGCAAACCCCCCCTACCCAAGCATTTAGGTGCCAAAAGGCTGTTGGGAGTGCACGTTTGTGAAGCACAGCTATAAATGTTGGAGCGTGTGACACAGATATGTGCACAGAAGCCTGTAAAGGAGGGCTGGAGAGGTCAGCCAAGTCCTGCACTGCTCATAGCCATCCAGACAGGCTGAGCAGGAGCTGAGGATGGATTAGCAAGCTGAGAGTACCAGTTGCCTATTTTTCCAGAGCATGCATGTTTAAGTAGCACAGAAACTCAGATGTATACACCTCCAAAAACACACAGTTCCTGAATCACATTTCCCCCCCACTCTCCCCTGAGTCACCTCCTGTTGGGAGCTTTGAAAAGCTGAAAGTAGGAGGACTAAGGAGAGTTTTACCCAGCCTCCATCTCCTCTCTAAACAGGCTTGCCTCATCCCTCTGTCACATCCTGAAGGACTTCCTTGCATGCCCAGAAGTGGATACACAAAGGGTAAATTCTGTTAGGAAGGGAGCAGAGATGGATCCTGCTTGAGGGATCTCAAATTCCTGGCACTTTCTACAGGGTATTTCAGTAGGAGTGGCCCAAACCCAACCACCTCGGTGGAGGTGAAACATCACATCCTTTCTCTTCATTTGACCCTTCCACTACAGGCTCAGCCTTACCTTAGTGTCGCCTTTATTCATGTCATTTGTCACAGGAAGGGAGACGGCTGTAAGGTAAGGAGAGGGGGTAAAAAAAGGAGAACTTGTTATTCATCTCATCTGGAACACAAGCAGAGAAACACTATTCTGCTAAAACGGGAGTGGAGAAGAGGGGCATCTCTCTCTGATGGAAGTGGTCCCTGGGTGCAGCAGCTGGATATGTGCAGTGTGCCCCTCAGGGAAGGGAAGGGAAGGGAAGGGAAGGGAAGGGAAGGGAAGGGAAGGTGCCTAGGCTGGCAGGGCCCGTGCGGCGCTCGGCAGTGACCTTGCGGCGGCCGCTGTCCGCGGTGCTGAAGGGGCCGGGCCGTTCCTGTCCGCGGTGCCGGAGGCGCGGGCGGAGCGGGGCCGGCGGGCGCAGCGCTGCCGGGGCCCAGGGGGACACGGACCCATCCCAGCCCCACTTACCCGGCACGGCCAGGAGCAGGACGGCGAGCAGTTCTGGCCGGCTCATGGTGCTGGCGGGATGGAGGCAGGGAGAAAGGGGCAGAGGGCGAGACTGTCGTGGCGTGGGGGCTCCAGGCGAGGTGCCGGAGGGAGACCAGCACGGAGCGTGTGTATCTACGCCAGTGCCCTGGCTGAAGATCCCAGACGGGGCACTGCAGCAACCGGCTCATTTATATATCTCAGCCCTCGGAAATGGCGTCAGGAGGAAGCCACCTCCTCCACTGCCCCCTCCCCTCGCACACAGCCTTCCCATCAGCCTCCATCACTCCCGGGTGTCGGAGGAGCCCCGACCTCCCCGGCTGCCCGTGCAAAGGTGTCAGGCTCTGGTTGCTCCATCTGCTCCCACTCTGCAGGCGCAGGAAGGCTGGGAGGTGTGTTTCCAGGAGACTGCTTTTCCGGCACCTGACCCGACACTGGCAATCTGCAGCACCTCTGCACATGTGCCCTCTCTCTATGTACCTGGAGCCAGACGTGAGGCACCTCATGTGTTCCGGCCAGCATTGCAATCTGGAGATGGTTTTGCCCTCTCAGGGCGCCCTTGTCTTTCACTGATCAGTTTAGAACAGGTGCTGAATTTTTTTTGATGTCTTTTAAAGACCTCCACTCCAGGGCACCATGAAAAGGGCTTGCCAATGGACATGGTAAGTCCCAGCAGTTCTATGAAAAGTTTGTTAGAAGGATATTACTTGGGGTAAAGATCAAAGGCTGGTGCATCTGCTGTCCACCTATGACTCTGCAAGCAAAATTTTAATAGGTTGCTACCCTTTGCTCAATGCTTTATAACCCTCTTTAGCAATACCCTACACTCCAAAATTGAAGTAACCAAGATTACCTGGCTGCCAGTTTTCATTGACAGGGGAGAGAAAGGAAACAAATTGTGTAATTCTCTTAGTCACAAGCATTTCCATGCTTTTGAAAAAATGGCTGTCTGTTCTTTGGATGGAGCATCTGTCAGGTCAGTCAGCTGGATTCTTTGTTTAAAGTGACTCCAATGCATCTTTAGGACAATGCTTCTTTAGGAATAGCAGCTCTGCTACTCCATTCTATCCCTCAAGCAATTTCAGAGATCACAAAATGCAGGGACTTAGACTAGAAAACAAAATTCAGAAAAATCCACCATCTTTCTTCCCCACCCTGCCTCACTCTGCTCACTGAGGAGTCCTGCAGTCAAGGAATTAGAAGAATCTAAGAGGTCATCACTTGTCATCTGATCTAAGATGACAAGAACTTTTCTATGAGATTAGGCAGTACAGACTGTACCATTGTTTTGCCTTTCTCTTTCAGGTGCACATGGAAATGTGTTCCCAAATGTCCTCTATCTGATTTAAATGCATGCTTCAAAAGACACATTTGGATTGTAAAAGGCCATTCATACAAAATCAGATCTCCTCTTGTCTGTTGCATTTTCTAGTTAAATGCAGAGAAAAGATGAAATAAATTGATCTTCTGAACAATGCTTTGTGGACGGCAGTGATGGATGGTTAAATGTTCATAAGTCTGTGAAATGAACACCCATGACAGTTCTTGTTCCATGGGGAACCTTCAGGAATAAGAGATATCTGTTGTTAGTTTTGTTTTGTTGGTTCCCCCCCGCCTTTTTTTTTTTTTTTTTTTTTTTTTTTTTTTTTTTTTTTTTTTTTCTGTGTGTGTGTGTGTTGTTGAATTATTTACTGGAGAGGAGGGATGGGGGCATTTTCCTCATTTAGGATACACCAGAGCACATAAGTCTTTGAGTCTGAAAAACTGAGCATTATTAACCTAGTAAATTCCTGTGTATTCCTAAGTGAGAAACAGATTGATTTGCTTATCAGGCTCTGTTTTCCTAGTCAATATTTATCTGTCCTTACATATAAATGCTGATTTTATTAGGGTAATAAATTATGTCAGTGCTAATCCAGTTTGTTACATGAAGTCATTTTCTTCTCTGGGGCCTCTTTTTGAGAAATTTAATAGGATATGTAGTGCCCATAACTACTTTTTTTTCTTCTCTTTCACAAGGTGTGGTCTTGCATCCATTAAATTAATTACAAAGGAGAAACTAAATGCTTTCCAGGTATGGCAGGCATACTTCCACTGTAATAGCACATGAGGGATGATGAATTTTTCTATTTTTTGCCCCAGAAAAATGGATATGAAACTGTTAATCCAGCAATCAGTACCTCTGCTATTGGATTTTTTCTCATTAGGCACAGCTATATTAGGAACTGTCACAATAAAGCATGCCAGGGAAAGATTTGTGTCAAAAGAGCAAAAGTGATCAAATAAAAAAGTGAAAGGTATTCTGCCACTCAGAGAAAGGCAATGCCTGGAGCAGACTACAAGAAAAGAGCAGGTTTGTGAGTAGTTTGTGTTTTAGTATTTAGAAAACAGGAGTAAATCTTGAATGGGTGGCAAAGAAGTGAAGATGGACATTTCTGACCACTTAAATAAAAAGCTGTTGATGTCTATAGAGAACAATTCCATTTTTCCTTATAGCTGCACAATTTCTCGTGCATGAAGTGCAGTGGGACTGTGGAGAGCCAAATACCATGGCCTGTCTGCAGTCACCAACATAACATGTGCAGATGGACAAAGAGATATTTGCCTTCCTAGCCTGAAAGTGATTTGAGAAGATGGCAATGTCCTGATGGATGGAAGCAGCCACCCAGGACTGTTGCATTATCTATGCTCTGAGCTGGGGGAACAGGAGGGTCAGCCTAAAAGCCATATTGATATATGATCTTTCTATGCATAAGATCATTTGGTTGAGAGATTATGTGGCTTAAGTGCTATTCTCAAGAGTAAAATATTTTTTACTTTATTTCAGAATTCAGGAAATAAAACCAAAGGGTCTTGTGTTTGTCTGTGAGCTACTCTGAGAGCTTTGTTGTCTAATTTCTTGGCCGAAACTGGGTTAAGAATTCACTCATCTTCTGTGCTTGGAAACACTGACACTGCATTTCAAACAGCTGTGATTTTAGAGATCCTGAGGCACATAAAGAGGGAAAGTATCATTTTCATGAAGATATCAAAAAGGTTTGAAGCCAAGGCACAGCTAATACCACATCGTAACCAAAAAGCAAAAAATAGGCAACAATTACCTTCTTGTGTATAAAATCAATTGATAACTGTTTGACTGAAAAACTTGAATGTAAGGTCATTGCAAAACTACTAGCAAAGTCTGTTAAAGCCCCCACATCACACCTTTTCTTCATTCCCACCGTAGTCAGTCACACTCAGCTCTCAGTTCCCTCATACAAGCCTTGCTTGTCTGCCTGTAAATAGAAATAAGCTTCAAAGCTCAGATTGCTGCTGTGAATACTCATCTGGCTGCTCAAAGGCAGTCCTCTCTTCTTTTTCAGGTCAGAAGCAAAATGATGTTGACTTGCTTTGATTTTCTTAGTCTAGACTATCCTTGCACCAACCTGCAATTAATTTATTTCCCTCTTGAGAGGTTTACTTACACCCTATAAAAAAACCCATCATTGTGCCTAACCTGACAGTAGCTAGCTCTGCCTATCTGTTTTTATCCTTGCCTGGCATGCATGGCTCTCACAGCAAATGGAATATGTTCCCTGCTGGAAGAAGAGATTTCTCTGTAGTGATCACAGAATACCATCTGGACACTCTTACAAATAGCTTGGATCTCAACATAATTGTTCTAAATTTTATTCAAACACCAATCTGGAAAATGCCATACCCCTCCAATACTATGGTCAGTTTACCTGGCAGTTACAGAAAACCTTCATTGATTCCTGTGACCCCTACTGAATCTGCAAAAAGATGTGGAGACAAACTTTCTTCCTGAACAGTGATCTCAAACAGCCTCCTCTGGAAATTCCTGATTGTTCCTTTGGCTATGGTTTTATTTGACTTGTGACAGCAAAGTTTGTATGATGCTGATGTATATATTCAGTAAGATAAAACAATTCTGTAAGTTCTAGACTGGTCTTAAGTCCATGAGAACATAACTGATATTGTTTACTTAGCTCTGAAGCTAGAGACAGGCAGTCCTTTTTACTGACCTGCAGACACTACTAGGGTTCTTGAGACTTAAGGGAAAAAAATAGGGACAAAAGCAACAAAGGTCCATGGAGCAGCACTCCTGTTCCGGGGGGTCCATAAGCCCATCAGACAGCCTCTGCCAGCAGCTCACAGCCAACAGGTGGATCCTCAGTCACCATCAGCATCAGCCCAGATTCTGAACATTGACTGACTGCCTGGTATATTTTGTAGAGATCACTTTTATTCCTCTTCCTTTATATACCCAATCGGTCTGTCCATTCCAGGCCAGTTGCTCAGTAAAAACCAAGTGAGCCACAGGGATACGTGTGTCTCCTGGGCTGCCCACAAGGCCAGAGTTCAATTGTTGGGAGCATGAGCATGGCAAGGGGCTTTCTCGAGATGTAAGTAGGTGCACTTGGAGTAACTCTTCCAGTTAATGGAGATGAAATGGCAAAATCCCTAATTAAAAAGCAATTGCAATTAGAACCTTCCCCTCACCCCAGTGACAAGGTTTAAAATCTTGAAACACATAAACAGTTTCCATTCTGGATGCTTTCTTTGATCTCCCTTTGCTCACATTGGAAATAATGCACTTAAAGAGATGACAAGACAACTGAGCACAGAGCCTGCTTCCCTGCCACTCTTGAAGAAGGATGAAGGAAGAGTGTAGAGGATTCATACATGTACTGCTGACATATCTCTGTCCCAAAAGCCAGACTTAAGGACTTTCATGGTGCTGCTGTCCCCACAAGATGATTATTATTCCTCAAATAGTGGCAATAGCACATCCCTGGAACCACCTACCTGAAGATAGGGAGCACAGGGATACAACACTTGCTATTTTGGGTTGGAGTAGGGAGCTGGAGACCCTGGGCCCTCCCCCAAAGACAGGGACAAGGGCTGGGGTGGAACTAGGTCCTCTTCCTGCCTGTGTGCCAGGCTGAATCCCAGCTTCCAAGCCTCCCAAAAACTGGGCACTGACCCTGATATTTATTTTACAGTGCTACACAATGTTCTAGTGTT